GCGCTGCGCCAGCCTCGCTGTTTGCCCGCGGAGCCGCCGCCGCCGGGTTCCCGATCTTGGGTCCGGTCTCCCGCGAGGTTTTAAATTGGGGTTCAGGCACCGCCCAATCCCGGGCGGGGCCCGACCCACAGGCCTGGGAGTCCCCTCGTCGCGCTCCACCAAATTCAGTTTCTGAATGGGCGGGGCTGACTTGGAGGGTTCGACTCCCGGGCCCTCGTCCTCCCTCCTCCGCAAAGAGCTGGGGAGTCCGGGTGCCTGATCTGAAGGAGCCCAGGAGGAGGGGGACACTGGGAGCCTGGACTTCTGAATCTCTCGCCAGCTGGCTTTGACTCCTGTTGAGTCCTAGCTGAGGAAGCCAGAGGTCTGGACCCCTGGTCAGGGAGCGGGGGTCCTCTCTCACATTGCCTCAGAAGTCAGGTTTTAGGTTTTCTTCATCATTTAAAACAATTCGTTACTGGCTGTGTATGTGGGGAAATGCCTGTAAGCTCAGTCAGTGCTCTGGGAGGCTGAGGCAGGAGGATTCAAACTCAGCAGTCTCCTTAGGGACTTAGCTAGACTGTCTCAAATTTTTTTTAAAAAGTTACCATAGCGCCGGCGCTTTGCTGACTTCTGTGGTAGAGATCTGTGAACTAAACCAGACACCTGGAATTTCCAGCCCTCAAACTGATTGACATTCCCATGGAAAACGGCTCTCCGTTCCCACTCGGTGACCATGTCCGCACTGACCATGGTGTCCAAATTTCTCTCCTGCTTCCCAGACTTTTCTCTCCTGGGTCTGCACTCTCCCTCCATGCCATTCCCCAGTTTCTCCATCTGATTCCAACTCTTCTTCCCTTCTGAATGTGCGTGTGTGAAAGGGAGGCTGGTTTCCTCTGTCTGTACAAACTTCCTTGGTGATGTCATCTGGTCTCAGGGTTTTAAATACCATGCTTAAGCCATCTATCCTTGAATTTCCATCTCCAGACCAGATTTATAAAAGAGCTGGGGGATAATCCCAGCACTCTGGAAGGCTGAGGCAAGAGGATCATAAGCTCCAGCCCAGTTTAGGCAATTTTTATTTATTTATTTTTGTTTTTTTGAGACACCGTCTCACTATGTAGTTGAGACTGACCTGGAGCTCACTATGTAGCCCAGGCTGGTCTCGAACTCACAGCGATCCTCCTGCCTCAGCCTCCCGAGTGCTGGGGTTACAGGCGTGCAACACCAGGCCTGACAGTTTAGGCAATGATAGATAGATAGATAGATAGATAGATAGATAGATAGATAGATAGATAGATGGATAGATAAGGCTGGACATGTAGCTCAGTGTGAAGGCCTGGGTTCGATCCTTAGTATGGGGAGGAGGGTGGGAGGGAGGGAGAGAGACAGACTCAGGGAGAATTGATTGAGAGAGTTGAGCCACTGTGGGCTTTCAGCAAGTCCACAGGGAGCTGTGTCAGGCATTTCCAACCCCGAGTGCCCAGTCCTCAGCACGTCCCTTCATGCCAGCTTCCATCACTGCTCGGTCCGTGCTCCATCTTTTCAGCTGCTTCCTCTGAAAGACTAGGTCAAACTGAATCCCTCTCCTACACCCACATCCGCTCCATCAGCAAAATGTCCTTGGCTCTACCTCCCAACTATTTCTAGAATCCTCCCATGCCCACACCCTGTCCACCTGTCACTCCCACCTGGACAACCATAGCAGCTTCTGGGGCTCTCTGAACCTCCCCCCACACACAAGCACACGCACAGGAAATAGGTGGCCTTGGAGGGTGTCCTCTGCTATTGCCACCTCTCTGCTCCCCCACTGTTCTTCGGGACTTCTCTGGACCACAGTCTGGGGCCAGGGCCCTCAGCTCTCGCCCATTATGGTCCCTGCAGGCCGAATCCTTCTCCTGCTTCTGCTCCCAGGTGAAACCGGCAGTTATTGGGGGCGGCGGGCACAGCACCGTGGGAAGGGTGACATCTGAAGACAGGGGTGCTGTGGGTACTTTGTTCCCCTGTGTCTCTTCCCTTACTGCAGACCCATTGGATCTTAGAGCCTCGGCTCTTGAGGGAGGATATGTGGGTGGGACATTCTGGAGCCTGTAGTCTCCCTTGAGTCCTGTTAACCTCCCCTCAGTGCCAGGTGACTGCTTGTCTTCCCACTTTCTTTCTTCTGCGGGGGAGGGTGCAGGGTAGGTATTGGAAATCAAAACCGGGCCTTTGCACTAAGCTACATCTCTAGCCCTTTAAAAAAAATTTTTTTTTTTTTTGAGACAAGGAAAAGCTCATTAAATCACTAAATTGCCCAGATTAGGCTGACTTGGAACCCCCTGCCTAAGCCTCCCAGAATGCTGGGAATACAGACATGGACCAGCACACGCAGCTTCTACTTCCCACTTTCTGTCCCTCTCTGTGTCCCTGGGAGCTCCACTTTGCATTTGGCCCACCTTTCTCATTCACCTGTCCAGAATAGATCTTATTTCTCAAGATACCTGCTTCTCTGCTTCAGGGACTATTCCCCCTCATCGACTTTCTCTTTCTTTCCACAGTGGTTGCAGCTCAGATGCCCCCAGGTGAGCGATCACTCCCACCCTTTGGCACTCAGGTACCACTTCCATCCCCAAAGGAGAGGGCCCCAGGGTTCTCCAACAGCCCCAGGGGCTGCCCAGGGCGCGGCTGGCCACCAGTCCAAATCGGCGCCCCCGGAAGATCTGCAGCTCTCTCCAGGGCCCACTTTGCCCTAGTCATTACCAAACCGAAGCCCTGGGGACTCAGTGATTGCTGGGTCTCTTTGGTAGGTGCCTGTGTGCCCAAGGCACAGCCCCGAGAGTTAGGGGGACCTCCTTTCCTTCCCCTAGCATAACCCCAGCATCTGGGATCCACTTCAGTCCCAGGGGTCTTCCTCTTCTCCCTATGCCCCAACGCACAGCTGGAGACCCAGAGCCCCTCAGCCATCTTCTCGCCTGGGCCCCACCCTCCAGGTTCCTGCTCCGGATGTGGGCCGCTGTCACTGCAGCTCCTGGCTGGCCTCTTGGCTGCAGATGCGGTCGTGTCGCTGCTCATTGTGGGTGTGGTCTTCGCCTGCGCTCGTCCCCGCCCCCTCCCCCGCCC